GGGCTCAGGGCAGGGATTTGTTGCGCTCCGCTGATGTGTCTGCAGCAGCGGGAGGAAAGTGGTTCTGATACATGTAACAGCCACAGCACAGTCTCAGGGGTTTTCATTTAGGGGTTTCGCAAGTCTCTCACCATTTCTGCAGTTTTGCGTGTTGTTAAGGAGCTTTCTGTGTGTCGTTTGACAGCTCCTTCACACGCCAGGATACACAGCTCTTGTTCTGATTTCACCTCAACCCTTAAATAATGAACAAGCATGTTTGAATTTCTCACCGAAATTGCATTGGTGTTGTGTTTCTATCCACTTCTATAACATGATGGTACTGCCTTCTTTCCCACTTGTTTTTTTCCAGTTCAGATAGTTAAATAAGTAGTTGCCACAGTAAAGAAAACATATATAATTTTCCAGATCTTTCAGATTAGTTTTGACTGGCAGAAGGAGTTTGGCCTTTTTCTGTCAGTGAAGTGGCAAGATCTGCATGTCTCCTTTCTATCTCTGAGATCTTCTTTGAGTATGTGATTGTAGTGAGGGGGTCCCTAACGTGAGAAGGACATGGATCTGTTAGAGTCCCTTCCAGGGGCTGGCCAGGGACTTTGGACAAGGGCATGGATGACAGGACAAGGGGGAATGGCTTCCAACTGGCAGAGGGCAGGTTTAAATGAGGTATTGAGGAGAAATTCTTCCCTGTGAGGGTGGTGTGGCCCTGGCACAGGCTGCCCAGAGAAGCTGGGATGATGTCTGTGCCCATGGCAGGGGTTGGAACCAGGTGATCTTGAAGATTCCTTCCAACCCAACCCATCCTGTGATTCTCTGGTTGTAGTCAGGAACTTCCTGAGACCATATTCACTTTTTAAAATGTGACATAGTTTTATGTGTCATAAAACTGACAGAGGGAAACACTCACTGCCTTGGATGCTGAAGCTGTTGTGACACTCCTGGTGATAGTGTGCTGTGCCTCATGGAAGAATGCACTGACAGTGACTGCTGTATTTTTTTCTTGCAGATTTGCAGGAACCTTATGCTAATAAAATAAGAACCGAAAAATGACGTTAAGGAAAGGTATGTGTGTATGCTTGTCTGTTTTTTTTAATATCTTTTGTATCTGAGTTTCTCAGTTGTTCTCTGGTTATATTGATAAAGATTTTTCTTCTTAATTTTCAGTGAACATTTCCATCCTTATAGTGGCTGTTGTCATATTTCTGCTAGTTATTCATCATAACTTCATAAGCCTCAGTGACTTCTTGAGACGGGAATTGTCAGGTATGTTGGGTTTTATTTTAATTTTAAAATATATATATATATATTTAAGATTTGGTGGGGAAACACCTGCTCTGGCCAGACAGAACCTCTGACGTGGTTTGGGTGAATGGGAGAGGGAAGTTAATGAGGTTATAGGTGTGGCAGAGGGGACCAAAGGCAAGTGCAGACTACTGTAGCTCAGCCTTTTAATACCTTGTACTGTGTGTGAATATGTGTGGTAAAAAGTGTGCAGTTTTCTGTAAATATGGTGTTATTCTATTCATTAGCATCTCACATTCTCAAAAGCTGATGCTCTGAGTGTTTGATACTGGCTCACTGTAATCCAACCTCTTCTCAGACATCCAATAGTATAACAGAAATAATTGAAGTGTTGGGAATTTTAGTGTGGTAATAATAATATATAATAATAAAAACACATATGTCATTTTTACTCCACAGATCCAAGTCCCTTAGGACTCCAGCCTATAGATTTCATCCCTGCAGCTCCCCAGAGGCTGGCAGATGAGAGGAATGACAAGGAGATTCCTGTGGTCATTGCAGCCTCGGATGAGAGGCTGGGAGGTGCAATTGCAGCCATGAACAGCATTTACCAGAACACCAGAGCCAACGTGGTTTTCCACATTGTTACTTTGAATGATACTGTGGATCACCTGAGGTAATGATCTTTTCACTGGATTCCCACCTGTATTTCTGAGAGGAGAGCCAAGCTGCCTTTCCCTGGTGCTGCACTCCCCTGACTCCCAGTCCCAGCAGCTTTTGGACAGGGCTGCTGTGGGAGTCCCACCATTCCTCCTGGGCAGGTTTCAGGGATGGAAAAGAACCATCTTTTCCAATGGGCTTATGTCCAACCAGTGGGGGGTTTGTTGTAAAAGGTACTTCTACATTTCATTAAGCAATTCAAATGCTGGCAATCGTGTTTCTCCATTTTTGTAGATTGCTCTTTGATCCTCTTATTCTAATCCCCTTCTGTCCACACTGATGGTTTTGGGAAAGGCCTGTGCTAACAGGAATGTGTATTTCTGATAAAGCAAGAAGTGACCTCATACCTTTGGCATGTCCCAGGTGTGCAGGTGCTGACCCTGGACTGCCCCAGTGGCCACACAGGCCAGCACTGATGGCAGCATCAATTACACCCCAGATGTGTTTGTAGGGCAGGGAAAGAGTGGCCACATCCAGATCTGTGTCACTGTTAGCTGGGTCTCCTGCTTTTCCCTTGATTTTGTGCCATTAACAAGATCTGTGCCTCTCTCCTGCTTGCAGGATGTGGCTGAGGATCCCTCCTCTGAAAAACATGAGGTACCGGATTCTGGATTTTGACCCTCGTGTCTTAGAAGGCAAAGTACAAGTGGATCCCCAAAAGGCAGACAAGTTCAAACCAGTGAGGATGATGCTGATTACTTTTTGCAATTAGTAGTTAATAACAATATATTTTGATGTTGGCTTTTAAACCCAGCTGGAGATCAAAACTAAGGCTGTTAGCATAGAAGCAATCTTTCATAATAAAATCCCTAAATTTCAGTAGAATTAAATATCTAGATAGCGAGAGATGGATTTGAATATCTACATATGCATGCCTAGGATCATTTTTTGCTGCTAGCCACAGTGAAACACTGCAGCTGGCATGTCAAGCATGCCAACACCTCAGAGATGCTGCAGATCTATGTGGAGAAATAAGTAATTCTTACATAGACCAGTTTCAAAGTTAGTTTATCAATGCATACATTCATGGTAAACCAGGAATTGATGGAACTTATTTTAAATTGTAGGATATTGCTGCCTATTTTACTTCCTCTATGGATGTTGTCTTGGACATTAATGCCATAGATAAGTGCCAGAAAAATCAGTCAATTTCACATTTATTTGGACCCTTTTTTCAT